GACATTTCTGAGGAATAGCCTCCTGAGCTGGATGGCAAGAATTGTTCTAATTGGATATTTAGACCTCTTTCTGTAAAAGCAGAGGAAGCGAATGCATTAAAACTGAGACTGCAATAATTCTTGGAGATGCCTTTTTAAATAAAAGGAGTGACACACAGGGCTGCTTATGAATGTAATTCATCTTTCTTCCATGGCCTTAGTCATTTGGCATAGATCAGGGTCACAAAAGGTACCTAATGCTGACATACGAGAGGGGTCAGTATACATTAGTTTCTTCAGCTTCAGTATAGATTATTTCCCCTTTATACTGACTTATTTCCATTTAGTCAAATAACAAATTGAAGCAACAACTGCAGAGAATCCAGCTTTTTATCATGGCATTCAGCTGCATATAAATGAGAGAGGTCCCAAATAGCTTGACATTAAGAGAGCATTTTTTCCTCTCTTACTGAATTGCTATCAGTGCCTGTGAAAGTTCATATTTTTGTGTCACACAGCCACTCCTCAAATGGTCTTTTCTGAATAGATCCACTGAGTTGGATCTACCAGCAGAAGCCTATGACTTCTGAAAGATAAGGTATTGCATGGTTATTAAGTCCTGGGGGGAAGAGGAAGAGAAAATCAATGATATTCCACAAGATTTTAAAATGGATAATTCATGTGTAGACAGATATCAAATTCTGTATGTGCTAGCCCATTCTTAGACATGTGATTGTGATCTCCCATCACTGTAAATCAAAAGTACTGATGTTCTATTAAAGGCAGTGGGGTTAGACCATGTAAAAGAAATCAGAATCTGGCCATATGTTTTAGTTTAGGCAGCAACACAAAAGATAACAGTAACTGGCTGTAGTCTCATAACAGCTAGGTAAGCCGTGTTGTTTTAAGAAATTATTACATTATAATATGGGGGGGTTGGATTGATAAATGTTATTTTGTGTTATCGTTTCCCTCAAGGATGCGTTTTGCTGCATTTTTTTAAATCTTATAATCGTCATTATATTACGTATTTATGCATTAGCTTTAAAAGCCACCATTCCTAAGGCAGTTTGGGTGATTTACAATAAAAGACCAAATGACCCCCAAGACGCCCCAAACAACACCTCAGAACTTAAAAACTCCGCTTGCCGTCCAGAGCAAGCTCTGGCCCCCCGCTCTCACTTCCCTGCTCATCATGCAGGCCTCCAGCATATCTCCACCATGCCTCCCAATCTCCGCTCACTTCTAGGTGTAGAAAACCTCTTCCTACTCCCACTTGCCTGTGTTTCACCAAGGGGAGCCCCTTGCATCCGACTCAGTATCTCTCACAATCCTTCCTCTTTCCTTCCCCTGCTTCACAGAGGGGATCTGGCTGTTCCCCCGAACCCAGAAATCCTCCCTCTCCCATGAGCAAGCACAGCATTTAGTTGAAAAGAAAGATAATAGGAATATAAGGAAACCCCCACTTTTGTCACCACCGCTGAAGGGGGACAGACTCTGGAGGGGCTGCAGGTCAGCCAGGTCCCCCTCTCTCCATTCAAGTGGCCTGAGTGGTGTCTAGTCTGAGCCCTGGTGCTCTCATCACAGCCCATTGCTAGTGTGGGAGAAGGAAAGGTGGATAATAGAAGCAGTAGTCAGCCCAGGGCAGCTTGCTAACTCTGGAGGGGTTTCAGGCCAGCTGTCCCTTCTCCCTTATTATACCTTTTCTTATAGGAAATGGTCTATTTTGTGCAATTCTGCGCAGCTGGCAGGGAGTGGGGGAACTGCAGACAGGACTGGTTTTTCAAACATTTCTGGCATAAAGCCTACTACCAACCTCCGTTCAACCAATATCCTCCCGAATGAGCAAGGCTATGCAGACTAGTAAATACAAGCAGCTGGAGACTATAATGAAAAGGACCCAAGCAAGTACTTTTGCCACTAACATAAGAACAGGAGGAACATGATAACCACAACCAGTTGCGATAAAGAATTCAATACATCAATTTTCTAGTCAAATTAAATGTATTGTAAAAGGAAATAAATAAAAAAGAGAATAATACCTTCCAGCACCAATCTTTTAGCACAGCAGCCAACTTTATATGCCCAAAACTACAAATTTGCTTTAATATTGGCAGGATTGGGGCCATAGATCCTGAAAAATTCAGTGGATGTCAGGAAGGGGTGAGGAGTATCTTATTGCTAATGATAAAGATAATTTTGCAGAAGAAATGACAGATATAGAGTAACTCACATCACATTGTAACTCTAGATCCGTGCAGAGAATTCTGCAGTGTCATTGGTAACACAGGCAGAAATAAGACTTGTTGTATTCATGTCTCTATGGCTTGACAGTAACTTTTCTTTTTTTTAAACACATCACACGTTTTATTGAAGTTCTCCCAAATGTCTTGGATCAATTTAAAATAAAAATGTACATGGATGTCAATTATAATTAATAATGAAAGCACTTCCAAGAAATCTACATGTTCAATTACCCAGCCTGCAGCATAGTTCATGCTGAGAACCACCACTGCTGAGACATCTGAGCATACAGGGCATGCTGTTTAAAACTGATTAGTCACAAATGTGCATCACACACAACGTTATATTTATGTAGATCCAAAGCAGTGAAAATCCTTATTTCATGCAGGATGCACAGGCTTATCTGAAAAGGAGGGATCTGTCTTGCTTCTGTACAAAATGTTGACAAAATTCTTTGTGCTCGATCCTTGGATACACACAGTTTACACTTGAGGCAGTCGGACAGGAGAAGTTTCCTTCTGAGGTGCCCTTTAGATGTAATCTAGCATCTGGAAAGTGGAATGGAGCCTTCCATTGGCATGATCCAAAGCTTCTGCCATGTCAGAAGCTGTCTTCACTTGCCTTTCTTGGCCGTCTTGCACAACTACGGTATCCGAAAGCAACCAGAACAGCAGCCAAGGATTCAATCTTGTGACTCCAAAAGCAGCTGGAGTGGGTCCAAGCCCTGTTGTGAGAGGGAGAATAACAGGAGCTGGAACATAAATATCTTTCATTGCTAATTTCCATAGAATGTAATTGGGAAGTCACAGCAAGTGAATTACCTTTATTCCATAGAAGCTCTGGCTCCATATAAATGGTTTCTCTCTGTAAAAGACACATTTCCACATTTTCTTTGAGACAGAGCCATTATTTTAATGAGTGCTATAAAAATAAATTGAGGTTTTAGAAAGCTTCAGCCTTTTACTGTTTCTCTAGTTTTCTGTACAAACTCTGATAAAGGTCGGCATCCATTTTCCAGCACCATGTTCTTGCATCTGTTTTTAACTTCACTACCTTTTCCCCTTGTGTTCTGAATGTTGTATTTGCATTATGATACACAGTACAAGAAAAATATATCTCTGAATGTCGTCTACAGTAAAAGTGAATGTTGCTGTTTACATTCTGCTTTAACTAGTCAGGTAACTGCTAGCTATAGCGGGATGTAATACTCAAGGCAAGTATTTTTTCCAAAAATGTTTCAGGGTGATGACCAAGACTTTATTTTGAAATATGAAAGAAAATGAAAAATCACTTTAATGTAACTGGGCTGAAATGCTCACATTTGCAATCACAATGCATTTAACTACTGTTGACAAATTGGAAAGGCTTCAGAACAAAACTACAGGAAAGATTCCAAACCGAGAAAATTTGCCTTACTGAGAGAGCAAAGATGATTGATCTATTTAAGCTTTTCTAAGATATGAAAGGACTTGATCAGTGCCTCTAATAAGTACTGACATTGGCCGTATATTTCCAAGAGAAGAGGGCTCTTTAATTTAGTGAAAAAGAACATAGTAAATGTTAATGGCCTGAGCCTGAGAGTAGACACAATCAAACCAAATTTTAACAAGGCAGGTAATTTAAGAGTGAAGGTAGATTCTTCATCACTTAAAGTTTTTAGATCAAGATTGGATGTCTTTTCTAAATTAATAGATACCTTAACTCAAAGTTACAGGCTTGATTAAGGTATCACAAAGTGAAGTTTAAACTTGTGTTCTATAGTAAAGCAAACTAGATTAAAGCAAAGTTGTTTTTTTTTTAAACCTGACAGTGAGACAAATAAAAAAGGTATGCCCCCCTGCCCTAGGAAAAGATCATTCTTAGGGATTACATGCAGTACAGCACCCCAAATTTTTAATTTCAAATGTGAGACAGTGTTCCTAAGTGAATAGTTAGTACAGCTATGAGCAGAGAGAGGTAGTTAAGACATCGTCCATGTTTGATGTCTGTTTGAAGTTAGACTGTTGTTTTTCTAATAAGTTCTGAATAGGCTAATAATAAAATGCATTATTACATGACTGCTGTATCTCTGTGCATGAGTGTATGTGCCATGTGGATTAATCTCATGTTTAATTTGAATTCTGGCAGTTGGATATTATTATGGATTTCATATCTAAGTACCCAGTAAAAAGATCTGGTTGGCAAATAAAGCATATATCCCTTCATAACACTTACCAGAATTAACTCAGAAATATGTTTTATCTCCCAAATTCACAAACAGGTATAATATCAAGCTTTCTCATGTAACTGAAGCAAACATATTATGTACCACCAACTTAGAAGTTGTAATTCATACTCCAACTGTAAGGAATGTGAATTCCCTGCGTTTCCTTAGACCAATTATTCTTACTTTTTCAGATAATATGACCTTTTCTATATGGAGGCCACCTCAGGTCTCTCTATACATTTAGCCTCAATCTAGCTGGGTACCCATTCTTTTTTAAATAAGTTGGAAGAGTAAACGGGTTGTAGGGCTCCAATCAGTAGCTTGAGAACCAAAAGATAAAGTATAATGTGCATACTATTTTAGACTTTTTCCTCAGTCTCAGCTGCCAAAAAGGGTTCAAAATTTCAAATTACTGTAATGGGATGAGATTTGAGAGTCCAAAATCTAGCTAGCATCATTAATTTCTCACTGTCATTAACAAATAAATAAATATATTTTGGATAACACTAAAGCTGATTGAGGAATTTTCTGCAAACACTGTCTTCCAGCTGGAAAAAGTGGTTTTCACAAATTTAAAATTTTTCTCAGGTGAAAATTTGCTGGTTTTCTGTTTTAAAAAAGTACTTTCTATTAGAAAAATCAAATAGTCTTGAAATTAAACTGTTTGGCATCAAGATATATATCCGCCTGAACTCTTGCAATGCCTCATGGAAGTTATCATTTGAATGTTTTGTGCCCCTGTTTGCTTCTGTGGGTTGAGTTTCTGAGCCAGACTATATTTCCCATGATGCAAGTAAAAACTAGGTGTCAGCCATTCCTTTATCCCTTTAGATGTTACTTGAATTGAGGTTATTTGTTTGAAAGATGCCACTTCTTGGACTTTATGCTATGAACTAGTCTTTAAAAATGGAGAAGCTTAAAAATAAATGCAGAATATTTGCGTCTCAAAGAAATTTCTGCAGATCCTTTGCTAGCAGTTTTTCAAAGCCTTCTCTGGATTAGAAGCACATACAATTGTCATGCACAGAGGGTTTGACATAGGAGCTGCCTGTATAATTTCTTTCAAATGATAAAATGATCAGAGTTCTTGGCACCTCACAGGATCACAACTTCACAGACGGACATGGCAAAGGCAAAGTTCCATATTATTCTGGTGAGTGAACTGAAGAGTTGAGTACCTGGCTTAAAAGAGCCAATTGTGCCTCCCAAAAGAGAAAGGCGGGTCAAACTACATATTTGCCGTGTACAGAATAAGAGAACAAAGGAAAGACTGTTCTGAAATAATAGATTCCGCATCTGCAACAGTCATTTAAGCTTTACAACAATTATCTTTGTTCTCTGATCATCCACCTCTCCCATTATTCCCACCCCCTCAGATTGTTTCAGCAATTAGTCAAAAAAAAAAAAAAAGAGAGAGAGAAATGGGACAGTTAGAGGGGGTGTAAAATCGGGTCTCCTACCTCACTTTGCATCTGCTGGCACAGCTTTTGGGATTTCCAAATACTTTCTAGATCTGTCACAGATCGAGTGGTCTACCCAACACTCTAGAAAATTTAAGCTGGATTGCCACATTGTGGGGAAAAATTAACCTCCTGAAGAGTGGATTCAATTCCATTAGGCTGAGCTGCCTGTTAAGAACATCTCTGAACATATGGCTCCCTGCTGATTCCCATTTAAAAACTATCTTAACTGATTAATGAGAGAAATAAAAGCTTATTCCGAAGCATTTACTATAGCTGTTGAAAGAACTTTATTCCAATTGCCTATAAAAACATGAAGGATGACGGACAGACAGACAGACAGACATTTTTTATAAGGTCTTAAGAGTCTCTTCAACCTGATGATCATGCTTCCCTATGTGGTTAGCAGATTTACAGGTTTAAAGTTGCTAGATGACAACTCCAGTCACATCTATTTTCATTAAACAATGGGGTTTAACTTTGGAATCAAGACCTTAACGTATCTAAAACTCGCCAAGTGTCTGGTTTTCTATTTTACAATATTATTTTATTATTTCTATAGATGCTCCTAAGCCAAAAACTTGCATGAGGCTCCCAGTGTCAGGCACTGAAGGAGGGCTCTGGGGAAATGGGAGGACTGGGTGCAGCTCCCTAGGGACATGGGGGAAGCAGGGGTGCTGATGTTGTTCCCCAGGGGCACAGGTGCATCTGGAGCTGGATTACAGCTCTGTCAACCTTTTCCAGGGTGCCAGAGCCATGGGCACCAAGGGGCAAAACCCAGGGGACAGCACTGACACCATGGTGATCCAGGCACAAGACCCCGATGCCATACTTTCAACCTCACAGGTGGCCCTGAGACGAGCACCTGTTTTCTGACAGACCTTATGCCCTCTAAATCTGGGGGGAAGTCACATGCCCAGAGACACCATTTCCTATACTGGGGCCAAGGATGTTCCAGGTCCTTTCTTCCAATGGCTCCTCAGAGGCCCTGCCACTGACACAGAGCCCATGCACCAGTCCTCCTGGTCCCAGCACAGGGAGCTGAAGAGTGAACACTCCCACTCCTGCTTCCACCACGAAGAGACCAAATATTACTACTGAGGGCAATGGGCAGCAGGGCTATCCTCAGATGGCATTAAGTACATAGCAGAATCAGTCCTCTGGGTCCTCAGGAGGTGAACACTTGTGTCAATAATCGCCGCAATGGACAAGGTGTCTGTCCGGAGGTGACAGATCATTACATTGGAGCCAGAAATAATACTTGAGCTTGAGCGTTATCACCAGTCTTAAAGCCATGCCATTAAAACATGTGACACCCTTCCAGGACTCAAGACCTTCTTGGGGACCATCTCCTACAGAAGGCACTGGGCATAGACCATATACAGATGTTCAAAGAACCAGGGGAGGAATTGATCCAAGTTGCATGGTTTTCTCTAAGCCTAGTTTAGATTAGGAGTGAACAGTATACATGTTCACCCTTTGGGGGCAGGGGGTTGCACACAGGCAGCTTTCACTGGCCCTACAGGTAGAGGGTACCCCTGTATACCCCCGAGCATCCCCTGTATGATCCCCAGGGTGTCGGAGACTGCCAAGTGCAGCCAAGCACCTGGGCCACCCCTGATTGGCTGGGAGGAAGCTCAGATTCTCTCAGTAGGTGAGCAAGGCCCTGAGAGAGGGCAGGGAGGTATGTGTAAGGCAGATTTATTTTCTCACAGACTGTTCCCAAGGTCAGGGAAGGTAGGGTGAGCTTAGTGCCTCAGGTGTGTGGAAGGAAGGTTAAGAGTGACTGGTCTGCCTAGTGCCTAAAGACAGAAACCTCTTGAGCAAATGGTGTGCTGGGTCCCTGCGCTTTGAGCAGTTAGGGTGGGACAATTCACTGCCCTCCCTCTCCCCCCCCCACCCCCAATACCCCTGCATCTGTGAACCATGCACCCTGCTTCTCGGCTTCTCAGCCACGATGGCCTGGGAAAGAGCTGTGACTATGGGGATGGCCTATAGTAGCTTGGGCTGGTGAGGGTCTCATTGTGCCACTACCTGCCCACTCTGCTGGTTGTGGGCACAGCCCACCTGCTTCCCTTCCTCACCCCCCCCCTTTTCCGCCAGGGGCTTCCCATTTCCCCCGGTGCCTGGGTCCCTGTCATGGCTGCATGGAGTGGGGTAAGAGCTGTGCCATCCCAGGTAGGAGGGCCTCCTCGATTGGTGCCAGCATCTTCACCAGGACTGGGGTGAAGGAAGGTGGGTCATGGGTGCTGTGGGTCATGCTGCAGCAGTAGCAGGGGGCTGGGGTGTGCTTTGTGTGACTAAAAGGGGGCAGCAAGGACGTGATGGAGTGGGAGTGAATCACCTGTAACAGCTGTGTTGGGAACAGCATCCCAGGGACCACGTGTTCAGAGGCAGTCTGCAGGGTTGAGGATGGGGGCAGGGACAGGGGATTCCCACATAGTGGAGGGATGGGGTCAGGGTCCAGGCAACATCCATAGTATTGGAGTTTTCCCCCTGCTCCTGCGCACCATGCTCCGTGCTCCCAACAATTGTAAAGAAGATGTCAAGAAAGATCAGATCCAGCTGCATGTGCAACTCTGCTCCCAGATCCTGTGATGATCAAGAGACTAGTACTAAATGGACTGGAGTATTCCCTCTCATTCCAGCTGAGTGTGGCCCCTGCTCCAGAGTAACTGGGACTCTACTGGCCAGGCCACCCCCCACCCAGTCTTGAACTTTCTGGAGGTTTCCAGCAGATACCCCATGCTATGGTCTTGAAATTTCCAGTGTTCCCACCTGGAACACTGGGGCAGCTGGACATGCCCCAAGGCTGAAGTTTCCAGAGGCACCCGCCTGCTTGCCCCAGCTTGGATGCTCGGTGGCCCCCCTCCCCTGGCCCTAGTTCTCCAAGACCCCTGTAGCTGTGGATCAAGAAACCCAGGTGCACATGGCCCAGGTACCTGCCCGCAGCAGCCAAGCTGCAGAGGTCACAGGATCGTCTTTGTGCAGGCCCAGTCCCAATGTTCAGCCACCCTCCACCCCGATGCACCAGTTCCTGCTCGGGGATTCTGGATCCCAGCTTCTCCTATGGTTCTGCCTACTATTACATAGATTATGATATATTAAGTGGTAGATTATGGTATATTAAGTGCATGTATTATTACTTCTATCAGGGTACCTTTTAAGCCAGTTTGAACTGATGATAAACCTGCTTATACATTGTGATTGATTGTAAGCAGAGTTGACTTGAATCATTCATGCTGTCTGAGTGATTAAAATTCTCCAGATGGATCTTCAAAATACAAAGGTCATATAATTGGTCCCCCTTTAAGAGAGAAATTCTTTCTTCAGGGTCTACACACACTTATATATATATGTACTTCAGTCTGGAGAGCCTTTGTGCTGTAATTGGTCCCAGGTTAGAAGAGTGGTCTCCGCTTGAAAAAAAGACAGCACATTCACTTTGTACTTAGTACTGCACCATATTATTACACTTTCATATCATGCTTATGAACTCCATAAGAGCAGCAAAGACCTCTATTATGAAGTTGTAATATAAAAAGCTTAATGCTCTATGCTATGTTTTTAATCTCATTTTTTCTGCTCCTTTTAATTCTTTCTTTAAAGAGACCCAGACTGCTGTGAAGTTTTGGTTTCTATTAACTGCAGATGTATCTACAGGAAACAACATAGAAAATATGCCTTTAAAAAGATGCCAGACTTTACATTTTTTTAAATATATAAATAATGGAAAGAAATACTTTTGATGATGATATTTAAAAAAATGTAAGTGCAAACTGAAAAAAGGTCTTCTACTTCAAAGCTGTCCTCCATTTTTTTACTTTTTATTTTCTAATTTTTAAATGTATTTGGAATAGTTGATAAAGTCAGGTGATCTCTTCTCCTGCCCTACCTCCCCTCCCCCCCCCCTTTTTTTGTCTCCCCCATCTTAGTGACTCACAATCAGAGGGGGAAATTCAGCCCATATGGAGACCAAGTACAGGCCCTTGAAACAGAAACTGGTTGCCTGCTACTGAGACGAATTTCACTAACAGATTGTTAGGCTGCATGTGTTACCTTCTGAATGTTAATAGTATAATAAACACAAATGTCTCCTTTTTAGGAAACTTTTTAGATAATGTTATGGCAATAAGTATGAAACAATCCCTCAGTCGCATCAGTTCGTGCTCAGCCCTCTCAGGTCTGTATTTTCCCATAACCCTCTCTATATTTGGTTTTGTTGACTTCCAATAGTTTCTTCAATAGAACTGAAAAAATTCTTCCCAGCCTTGTTGAAAGTCTGGTCATCTTCATATACTCACTAGCCCTGATCTTTCTTCCCTGAGAGACTTCTCAATTTGCCATTATCTAATACTTTAACATACTCTATAGGCCACGAATAAAACTACTGAATAAAATAAATTTCTATGGCACCACACTGGCTACTTCCCTATATGTGGCTACATACTGTTAGCCTTAGCAGACAGTGTTCAGTCTCTGTACCAATATTCCCATCCTAACCAAATTCAACTTTTCTCAAATAAGTCTTCACAAGAAACTGGATTGAAGCTTTACTCAATTCCAGGTGTGACATAACTGTAGTCTTATCATCACTTAATTAAAATGCTATACAAAAAAGAATAGTTTGTCTGACAAAGTTCATTTAATAAATTCGCCCCAAAATGCTTCTATTTGTTTATGATTCTGGCAGTCTGTAAATGTTTTTCCCTTAACTTTTTTTTTCTCTACAGCCTCACTTTCTTTTCTTTCTTATAAAATTATTTGCCCTCTTTCACTCTTTCTATCATTTACTTCTCATTATTTTCCTCATGTTTTCTGTGGAAAGAGCAGGACATGAGATGTTATTACTGTGCACCTGTCCTGAAGAGGCTCAGGTATCAAGGTCACCTTTCTCTGTTTTGTTCAATATGTGAGCAATATGAAAAGACAAAAAACATCTAAAGCTTGCATCTCTTTATTTAATGAAGAGATTTTCATTATAAGTCTTTGATTTTAAAAAGAAGGCTTAAGAACCAATACATACTGCTGTATAATTTAATTAAAAATATTTGTCAAAGAAAGGGAAGAACTTTGGGCCAGAGTCATTATTGATAGTACAAAGTTCTAGTCGATGTAGTGTAGATTTAATCAAGGATGATTTTCCATTTTAAAATATAGAATGCAATGATTTCAAGGTAACTGTACAGCCACATACTAGTGGGTGTTAGGGAAAGTGTAGCATTTATTCAGTCTCTGTGATCTACTAGCACAATGGGGAAAAATAGGGCAAATTTAGAAATCCAGAGAAATGAAAGAGAATAAAAAACAGTTGCAGATCATGACAAGTTAAGGGGATGATCCTATTCACAAAGGAAACCTTAAAAAAACTTTTGAGTTTTAAGAGAGAACAAAATTTCATTCAGTACTTCACACCATTATTCCCTCCACTAAACACACAAAGGTTGCTCTGTGTAATATAAAGACTGGCAATGTAGTAAAACACTAATATGGATTTTCACAAACTAAATCAGTGATTTTGCTTAATTTCTGTTTCCTACCATATATGTAATTTGTGAGAATTTACATATTGTCCAATATGAAATACCCATTGTATTATTTGTAGCATCAAAGGAAGGAGCAAGACATAGTAGGAAGTTACAGAAGAAGGGACAAATCCCTGTTTATACAGGGAAATTCTCCAAAAGGCCTCAGCATCACAGCCATCAGCTACTTTTTAAAAGTCGTTTTCTTCTGAGTATTTAATGAAGAGATGGGGGGGGGGGGGCGCGTTTCCCAGGACTCAATAATAGAGTAAAAATTAATTTTTGATTGTCTCATGGGATCTGCTACCCTCTCATACCTGGGTATTACTGTTGTAATGCCCTATCACTATCACCATAATTTAGTCATGTGTCAAAACCAACTCACTAACTAGAATAACTTACTCAGTATTTGAAGAACTGATCCCTGTTCTCTGTCTCTAGTTTCCTATGTCTGTGTTTTCTCCTGTACAAGGAAGGCTCAGACTCATTCATGCACAATTTTGCACTTGCACCAGTGGAGGTTGTGGTGACAGAGGCTGTAGTTTTAGAGAGACTCCCTTACTTGGATTTAAAAAACTGCAAAATGGGAGTCAGTCAGAGCCAGACAGGATCTGCACAGTTGCATACTGCCCCATAATTAAAGTGTGCTGTTCTCTACCACATATGCCTGTGTTTATTGAAACCCCATGATCACAAGAAAGGCCAACAAAAGCTGGCCTCAACCGCAGTATTACCTCCTTCCCTCTCCCTGAGGTGCAAGCTGAAAGTTTGCTTTTGACTGATCATCTGCACTGAAAAAAAAAAAAACTTTGTTGCCTCTGAGACATGCTCATAAATTCGGCACTACCAAAGCTGGGATCTTCACCCCTTGATGAGAGCATTTTTTCATATTGCTAGCATATTGTTGAGATCCTAGAAGCTGAATTGCTGTCTTCAGGCAGTATAATTTTTTTGAAGCGCTACATTCCAGATCATTAAAAACTGCACTAATTTTCCTTGTTGAAACAAACATTTCTGAAATGAATAATGAATTGCAATGGATTTGCTCTGTCACTTGTTATGGCACTTAACAGAGAAGTTAGTTCTATGTTTGACTTACCATTGCTCTTCAGCATGCTTTGCTACTAATCTTTTGTACAAATAAATTCTAAGAACACTATCAGACCTACCAACACGAACAAGATATTCAGACAAGTCCCTTTAAAATTTAAGACTCATTGTACCAAAAGAGGTCAGGGGATAAAAAGCAAACATCACAGTTGAGGAAGCAGTAAGATTAATAGCCAAGTCTAAATGAGAGCAACAATAGAAACCAGTTATTTTAAAAGGTAGCACAATAGGTTGAATAATCAGCACTATAAAACAAAATTCTGGCCCCAGCCTCTGGCCAGAAGAGTAACTAGGAGCTCCCCTTGCCCCTCCGTGTGTAGGCACATGAGCTAGCTGAAATCCCATTACATACATACCCCCTCTTACTTCCAGCAGTCCTCTGTAAGCTCTTGGTATCCAAAATGGAGAAGAAAAGAGCAGGATGAGGGTTGGGCCATTGGTCTGCCTCCCACTTAGCATCAGCAGAATTGGTGGGCAACGGTTCTTCAAAGTGACGAAACTGCTGTGTCAGTGAATATTACCTGGGAGCCCCAAAGAGAAATTCTGAGTGGCTCAGCTAGATTCCTTCCTCGGCCGCTCCAGCTGCTGTGCCCAGTGGAGTTGAGGGCGCTTTGTGAAACATGTAAACACTCCAGGAGCCAATAAAAATACATGAAATAAGAGGAAGACTAAGTACATTCACAGCTTTAGTTCATTTTAACCAAGCAGACTAGATTAATTTTTGGTGAACATCCAGAAAACATCCAGTTTTGTTTCTACTTCAGTTCTCTGCTTGATTCTCATCCTGCAGAAGTGCTGGGCTAGATGGTGCGGAGTATCCACCATCCCTACCAACTTCAGTGGAAGGAGTGCTCAGCACCTTGCAAGATCAATCTTGTAGTCCTGGTGCTATGGTCTCACTGAAGTTTTTGCCCTCCAGGAAAATTCTGTCAGCCTGTCTATCAGCCCATCCATATGGGAATAACAACAAAATATTACATTCAGAAACCATGTAGCTCGTCAGCTACAACACCAGAAGGCCCCAGGGACCCCAGAGTAACCATTACTATAGAGTACAGCAACTATTGTCATAGCAGAATTGTATTCCTACTGCTAGAGTTGTCAGTTGTTTCTGGGCTTTCCTGATCTTAATGCTGCTACAATCATGTGTTGTTTACTGGCAAACACCTTTCTTATCATACTTATTATTGTTTTGTATTCTACACACAATTTGTTTTCCACTCTCACTCAGGTAAATTGGTACCCAGGAGTTGTGCTCCGTCTTGACCTTTTGTATCTTTCTTACTCCTGCCCTCCTCCGACCAGCACCCTAGGGCAGCCAGGGTACAGGAGCCAGCCCTGCTCACTTTATACCATTGGTGATGCATAGGGGGTGCACACGTGTGCACGTGCACCCCCTGAGATTGGGCGATGCTGCCAGCGGTGCTCGCTGGCAGTTGCCACTCACCACTCCCCCCCGGTGCACGGATGTCTGCGGGTGGTTGCTGATCACCGCTAGCCGCCACCAGTGGTCACCAATTGATGGTTGGCATTTACCACCACCCCCTGCCGCCAACACAGCTGCAGCCGCCTGTGGGAGCCCTGCTCGCCACCACCATGCCCCTGCCACCGCTGCCACCATCTATGGGTGGTTGCCATGCCCTCCCAGACTTTGGAGGCATGTAACATTCATGCTTTATACTCTAAAGCAGTGGTTTTCAACCTCTTTTGTATCAGGACTCCATTGTAAACATCAATGGCCAGTGCCCCCCACTCCCACCCCCAACCCCCCACACTGTGTGGGACAGGGAGGGGGGCGTATGGGGTGGGAAGCCCCCAAGCAGCCCTTCGCAGGCTGGAACTCTACCAGTCTGCAACGGAAAAGCCACAGTTTCCCATGGTTTTTCTCCTTTAAAGGAGAATCCATTTTTAAAGTTTGTTGATCCATTTTTTAAGTCTCTCTGTTACCCTTTCATGTATTCTTGCATCCCAGTTTTGGGTCACGACCCATGGGTTGAGAAACACTGTTCTAAAGCACTCAAGGGAATGGAGTCAATGTAGACAACCCGCCTCTCATTTTGTTGATATCATTCTCCTTTGCTAGACATAGAGGGGTAGCTTGGACTAAGAATAGCACTGGGGGATGATGAACCAAAAGTGTTTTCTCTCATAAATATGATTATCATAATAGTCTGTTCAAACATGGGGACTCAGCGTGCATTCTACTGAACACTGGAAAGGACATTTTGAGTGTACTAATGTAGTTAATATTTATGTCTGCTTTGATGTGGTTTGGAGGAAAAGATTGTACTTAGCTGTAAAATCCAGTATGAAGGCCTGATTATGTAAGGTGATAACGTAGCCTTGATTCCTAAATAATGAATCATTAGACAGGGACTTTGATGCCCTACCAACAAATATAAGACTTTCTCGACTTTCTCAACAGGTAAAATTAAGGCAGTACTGGGCACCAGGGCTGTGCAAAACTTCAGTCCTTGATTTGATTCAGAGTGGATTCAGCCTAATTCAGTGGCTGAATCTCCAAATCTGAATGAAATCAGGAGACTCTTTAATCTCTCTGAATTGAATTGGAACCCTCTAAATCGATTCAGAAAAATTTGGAAAGATTCAGCGATTTAGACATAGACACAGCTTTAAATGTTTTTTATACACACCTCAAGGTATCAGGCAGCTGGTGCCTGCTGAGATGCTGGGGCAGATGGAGCATCCCACAGGAGCGTGGGGGGCTCCCCAGTGCGCTCAGCAGCGGACCACAAGGACTTCTGGTCCACTTCAGGGTCTGCTGGAGAGCACACAGGGCCTGCCCTCCCCCATCCCATGTCCCCTTGGCTTGGTGACTGGTGCTTCCTGGGCCATGGGGGGGCACCTGGGGTCCCCCCATGGCCAATCGCTGAGCCAGGGGGGTGCAGGGTGGGGGTCCAGCATGCTCCCCAGCAGACCCAGAAGTGGACCAGAAGTACTTCTGGTATACTTCTAGGTTTGCCGCCAAGCACATGGAGGACCCCTGCCCCCCCCACCCACTTGTGTGGAATGCTCTATCTGCCCCAGCATCGCAACGTTCACGAGCTGCATCTGGTACCTTGAGGTACGTAGAAAAAACACTTAAAGCTGTGTCTATGGCTGAATCGCTGATTCTCCAAATCGGCATCGAATCTTCAGATTCAGATTCAGCCGAATCGAATCGGGGACAGTGATCCAAATCAACAAATCGAATCATCGTCCCTGATTCAGGCCGAATCCGAATCCAAATCAAATATGGCCCATTTTGCACACCCCTACTGGGTGCATATCTCCTTTGCAAACAAAGGAAAGTGGGGGCAGGGAGAGAGTTGCAGACAAGGAGCAGCTGCCTTTTCAGAACATGCAGTACTACAACAAATCTCTTGCTCCCTCTTAAGTATTTCCATAGTCCTTGTCATGGTCATCCTACCCCAAACTGCTATTGAAAAAGCCTTAGTAATAACTTGTCTCAAAACAGCAGCATTTACGTCCACATATAAGGGATTCAGCCTCGAGCAAAAAACGGAAATCTGTATTTTGGATATAGAGACTACCAAAGCAAAACACTAAAGCAGATAGTCCTAGAGTATAGATTATTTGGTATTTGAATGAGGGTCCAAATCTGGTTTTGATATATTCAGTTAGAACTATGCTTATTCTATCTCAATTATTTTTCCCTCCCAGAATGAAATATACAATAATATGCTTGTTGCCTTTACTGGAATATATCTTTTCAATGGCTTACAACAGTTCTTATATACAGTACAGTATAGGCTTGATGTAGATCAAGGCCTGAAGCAACATTCTAAAAGCAAACACTTCTCTTTATAGAAGAAACTGTAATGGTCCAGCTACCACTGATTTTAAAATCTTTCCAATTTTCAGGGCTGACAGCTGTCAAAATCTAAGTTGTCAAAGGAAATCAATAATGTTTTCAATGAAAAAAAAAACCATTTGACAATATTTTACGTAGCTAGGAAGCTTGTTGGAAGTTGCAATGCTTACATTTTCATTTTTCTAAAATTGTTCAAGAACTGATTTCTAGAACAGCTCCACTTCCAGCTCTACTTTTCTATAGCTCCCAAGAATATTATTTACTCCTTCCCCTCCAATGCACAAATGAAATAGCACATGTAAGTATGGACCTGACATGTTTCTTCCTAGCTGCATCTGAGCAGTCCCTGGTGGCAGAACATCGTGAGAGTAACAATCTGGCCAGAGAATCCAACCTACAGAATTCCATCATGAGAGAGAGCATGGCCAGAGCATTCAGCCAGTAGAGATGAATAGGAGCAGGAGGCACCTCAAAGACAACTCTTATGAAACACCTATATAGTATGCTGTTTGCTAAAAGGAAGGAAATGGGAAAGAATTAAGTACAAGTATAAAGACAATGATATTTGTAATCCATTACGACTTCTGAGAAATAGAAGGTACATTTTACCAGATGGTGGTATGTTACTATCCAATACCACTGATGTATGTATACATCACAACATAGTATAAGAATAATTTTTAACCCCAATACAGAGCAACAATAATATGATTAAAACTCTGAGGTTTTAATTTTGTTTCTGTTTTAAAAAAAATCCTTTTCCTGTTCTTCTTTAGATGCCAAATATTTCTTGGCTTTATCATAATGAAAAAAATTGTCTTACCCTTAAGTAACCCAGAACATATTTTCATTAAAAAAAAAAAAAAAAAAGAAAATTGCCTGCCCTCAATGTTGTTCAACTTCAATCTCAATAAATTCTGATTACATTATTTAGACTTTTCACCAATAAATCATAGCTCTGTAGATTCATAGATGTTAGGATCTGGAAGGGACCTCTTGATCATCAGGTCCAGCCCCTTTGCGTTTTGGGCAAGAAAGCCTGCTGGGGTCAGATGACCCCAGCAAGGTGAGCATCCTAGTTTTTTGAAGATATCCAGAGCAGGTGATTGTATCACCTTTGGGGCAAGTCTATTCCAGACCCTGGACACTCGAGTTGTAAAGAAGTTTTTCCTTATGTCTAATCTAAAGCAGTCTTCTAGCAATTTATGCCAGTTAGTCCTAGTCTTCCCCTGGGGAGCCGTGGTGAACAGACATTCTTCCGGTCCCTAATGGTAGCAGCCTATAAATATACTGGGGCCCACAAGTCCCCTCTGAGTCTTCTCTTCTCCAGGCTGAACAGACCCAAGTCTCTCAGCCTCTCATCATATGGCCTACTCTCCATGCCGCTAAACATACGTGTAACCCTCCTATGGACTCTCTCAAGCTTTTCCACATCCTTCCTGAAGTGTGGTGCCCACAACTGGATGCAGTACTCCAACTGCAGCCTCACCAAAGCTGAGTAAAGTGAGCGGATGACATCCTTAGTCTTGTTTGAGATGCATCAGTAGATGCATGCCAGTGTTTTATTTGCTTTGCATCGCATTGGTGGCTCATGTTCATTGTATGGTCTATCAAGACCCCCAGGTCTCTTTCTGTTGTGGTGCTAGTAAGTGTAGCCCTGCCGAGCCTGTAAGCATGTTGTGGGTTGTTTCTCTCCAGGTGGAGCACCTTACACTTCTCAGTGTTGAACCTTATAAGGTTT